TATGGTAGAGTGTAGGGTTTCTATATTAGGAGTCCTTACTATGATTTGGGAAACTATCCCCCAGAACAGTACCTGGGACCCTTTGGGAAAACAACCTTAAACCCTAAACCCTCCACCTCTTCTACTTAACACGGAAACCGAAAGCCTCTGCTCCTAGGCCACACCACAGCCCTCCGTGTTTGGTGAGTTCCAAGCAGCCATCCCACGACTCTATGAAAAGACCGCTCAACAACCGCGAAAGCCTAAGACCTACACCCCCAATAGGGGTTTAGGGTTTAGGGGTTTAGGGTTTAGGGATTGGGGTTTAGGAAGCTTGAACTCAAACTTTCTACTCAACCCTCGACCCAGAACCCCTAATTTGCACCCTAAACCCTAAACCCTAGGCCCAGAACCCCTCATTAGCACCCAATCCCTGAAAACACAAGCCCGACCCCTGACGTGCATCGCAAAGTTCAATACCCCAGGTCGCTGTGGCCTCGTCGCCCCCTTGGGCTACCGAGGACTGTGGTGTAGAGTTTCGGAGTGGATAAGGCTTTCAATGTGTTCTATGTAGTTGTTGGTCGGATTTCAGGATTTAGAAGTTGGTGGTTTTCGCGTGGTGGTGGGCAACTGTGCTTTCACAATGTGTCCTTCCTCACAATTGTTCAAGGAGTTATTGAGAGCGTAGGGTTTAGGGTTTCGGCATCTGTGTCCGCTGAAGAGCGCGATCAGTGCATTGTGTGGGAAATTCCATTGACCCCTGCCCAGCTCCACAGCATTGTCCATCAGGACTGCAGATCCCAATCGGGCACTCGGATTGCTGCCTCTGTGGAGTTGCCGTAGTGAACCAATACCTTAAGGAAAAGAACCTTAAAAGTAGGGGCCCTATACCCTTATGCTATGAATCCCTATATGGTATATGAACCTTATATAAGACCTTTTGGGGCTCTTTTCGTCCTTCAGGTACGGCACAGAAGTGCCACCGGCAGCAGAGTAGACGCTTGGGGCTTAGATCGGAGAGCTTAGGGTTTAAGATTTGTCGTTTAGGGTTGAAAGTTTAGACCCTAAGCCCTAAACCTAGAGGTCAGGCTCCGCGGTTTATGGGTTAGAGCTTCGGGTCTTAGGGTTTTTGGCCTAGACCTTCGATTGTTTTCGATTCGGTCCGCAGCATGAGTCTTCGAAAGTTGAGCAGAAAATTAGGGAGTTTCACAGAGAACCTTTATGTAACGGTCTAGGGTTTAGGGGTTTAGGGTTTAGGCTTTAGGGTTTAGGGCTTAGGGATTTATGTACCATCATCCTTCTCATGCGGACCCTTAAACCCTAAACCCCAAAGCCCCAAAGCCCCATAAACCCAAAACCCCAAAGCCTTAAGCAAGAGACCCCTGATCATAACAATCTTGTTCTTACACGTGCTACCCTGCTCTTGCCATCCCATGAGGACGATGTTCCCTCCGCGACACCGCCTCGAAAGCAGGCCAGCGTTTAGGGTTTAGGGTTTGGGTTTAAGGGTTCGGGGTTTAGTGCTTGCGGATTTCTTGTTTAGGGGGGTTCCAAGACCGTTGTGGACAACTGGTGTCTACCGCCATAATCTACGACACCGAGCAGGACAGGATAGCTTTTAGCAAAGTATGCTCTGAAGAAGAGCACGTATGGGAGTTTTAGAGAAGGTGCTGGAACAAGGTACCCTAGTGTCGGAAACTCACCAATTAACGCCGTCCAAGCAAACTTCCGGGTTTGGGTGTACTGCTGTGAGGGTTCAGGATGTAGGGTTTGTGGTTAACAGTTTTAAAAGCGGAATATGACATGAAGTTGAGATTATAGCAGGGGCCCTTTCTGGTGAGTATATAGGGCGAGTGTACTTTGTGAGTTTCAGCATGCAGGCGACCAACAGAAAAACTTAAAATAGGTAGGGGCCTGAACAATTACCTATACTATTTTGGGGTTCTTTATTATAACTATAGTTTAACGGGCCCCACAACCCTATTCTAATTATTAGGGCCCCTATTACATCAGGTACTTTGACTCTTGCCTTCCTATTCGGTGCCTCGTGGCCGAAGTCGTAAGTTGGTTTAGGGTTTACCTTAACCCCAAATAACCTACCTTTTTAAGGATTTATATGAAGAAATCATAGCAAGGAACTCTAAAAAGGTAGGTTCTTCAGGGTCCAGGTAGGGTTTAGTAGTAAGCTATTATGGTTCTCTGAGTTTGTCTGGAAAACGAGTAAGACTGTTGCCTTACAGCTCCTAGATCAAAATCAGATACCCCGAACAGCAGGGTTCTCATTCGTAATTAAGGCTTCTAGTTAGGGCCTTAGGGCTTAGGTTTTAGAGTGTACGTCTTATTCTTGGTATGCTGAACGGTCTTGGGAATCCTGATAGGCCCTAGACCCTAAACCCTAAACCCCCTCCAAGGTTTTAAGTATGGGCCCCTAATATGGGCCCTAAGGGGGTTCTAGGCTCCCTTTAAGGGTACATATAGGGTACATAGTAGGTATATAAGGATCCCAGGCTTAAGGGCCCATACTAGGGGCCCATGGGTTCAACCACCCTAAACCCTAAACCCTAAACCCTTATAGTAGCCCTTATGGACCCCTTTAAGGAACCGTTTAAAGGAACCCCTTAAAGGAACCCCTTAAAGGAGCCCATGGGTTCTACCTTAGCACCCCAGAAGCTTCCTCAAGCTCTGCAAGCTACCCTAAACCCTAAACCCTAAACCCTAAACCCCTAAACCCTAAACCCTAAACCCTAAACCCCTAAACCCTAAATGCTATGCCAAGTTGAGAATCCCAGCACCCGGACGCTTGCCTGTGGATCCAAAAACCTACCGTTTTAAGGGTAAGACCCTCTAATTAGGGGTTCATAACCTACTATTTTGTAGGGGTTGGGGATACAGGTAAACCCTACCCAAACCTGGCACATGAGACTCTGGCCCTGTAGGATGCCTTTTTTACCTTTTGAGCTGGTAAGTTTTGTAGGACCCCATGTAGGAACCCTAGACCCTAAGCCCGCAACGCTAAGCCTCCGGGCCCCGAAAGTGCAATCGAACACCAAAAGCTCTCAACTTGCCTTTCACCAGGGTCTCAAGGGTTCAGGGCCCAGGGTTTAGGGATTAGTGCTTAGGGCTCAGTTGCAGTATAGCTTGGTTTTCTTCGGGGTGCTACAACGGTGTATATAGTTTTGAAGTATCATCATTCTTTGGGAGGTTCATAAGGCTGCTAAAGCTAATAGTTTCTTTCCGTGGGGTCTTATCAGGCTTCAGGCGAAGATGTGGCCTGCGGCCCGCAATTCAGAATGTCGAGGACAAAGACGGGCGGTACCCAATTAGCGTCATGAAGCACATTGGCGTAGCCCCACGGTGCCGGCTACGTCTTGATCGACGCGGCACACCTGAAGGACGAAAAGGGCCTTAAAAACAGGGGCCCCATACCCTTAGACTATGAACCCCTATATGGTATATGAACCCTAAACCCTTTTAGGGCTCTTTCCGTCCCTATCGCACTCTATAAATTCTGGAATATTAGGGTTTATAATAAGGACCTACACAAAAGTAGGTTATGGTAGTTCAAGGGAGGGGCTAATCGCCCTCACGTTCGGGGCACATGCGCCCGCAGTGCACGTGCCGTTCGAGCCGAAGGGGCTCCTCATCTGGGCGATCGGCATCTGCAGACTTCTCAGCGGCCTGCATCGAGAGATTGGCGAATCTTAGTCCCGAGAAGTTCGTGGCAGCGCCATACAAGGTGCTGTCGAATGCAATGACAGGTGCCAGCCCGGGCCGGCTCTTATGTTCGTGTTGAGTCCCCGATATTCTGGTCCCAAGTTTCACGCACCTGCGCCTCGGCGTTGAAGGGAGAACCGGAACTCTTTCAGCCTCACTCGCACACTCTAGATGGCTGAGAGCCCCCGACGAAAGGTGACTTTTTATCCCCGCCATAGCCGGACACGCAGTTACTCCAAAGGTACAGGTCGAGCTGAACCCCAAGCCCTCCACGACCTGGTCGCGCGGATATTGAGCCTGCAGTGGCTACCCAAAGGCCCCATAGTAGTTCCTTCTTGGGGTTCATATTTAGAACCCTATAAGGTAATCCCAAAAAGGAACTACTACGGGGCCTATTGGTAAGAATGTCATTTCCTGGAGGTCGTGGGGGCTTTACGGAAAGCACATGAACCCTATAAATCCTCATAGACAGCCCCTCAAAGGCAGTATGGATCCCGATTAAGCCCTACACTCAGCAGCAAAAAATCCAATCCTAAAGAACACCAAAACAAGCTAAACCCCCATAACTCTAAACCTTAAGCAATAAACCCAATCCCAAGAACACCCGAAAAAGTCTGAACCCCCCCTAAAGACTAAACCCAATCCTAAAGAACACCCCAGAAAAAGTCTAAACCCCCGCGAGGCTCCACGGAGCCCCGAGCCTCGCGCCGAAGCCCTCGGCGGTGCGCTGTACTGGCCTGGCGAGGAGGCTTCGAATATCTGTGTATGTCTCATTTTAAACAGACAGAGAGAGAGAGAGAGAGAAGATAGAGACATATAAAAATTCTATAAGATTGCTTTATGGGGGTTTTATAAAGGTCTTCGTTGGTGGTACAAGGGTTTTCTAGGGTGTCATAAGAGTCTTGTGCGGTTTTAGAAGGTTCTGTAGAGTTTTGTAAATACGGCATTCACACGGCAGTGTAAGGAGGTCTTTGTATAGGGTGCTCCAAGCATTTTGTGGCGTTTGTAATGCAAGCTTTCGCACAGACCCGAAATCGTAAACCCTGCGCTCTCAGCCCGTGGTGATGATGTCGTTAGCTGTGGGTCCGCGTGGTCGCCCGCCATTGGTGCAGCAGAAGGCGCTTCAGGAGTTAGGACTTTGGGTTTAGGATGGTTTAGGGTGTAGGGTTTTAGGGGCGAGGGAAACATAGACATATGTTTAATCTACTTACCAAACAACAACCTAAATCCCAAACCCTAGACCCCTTACAATAACTCCTAAACCCACCACAGAACTGCTTTTGAAACGTGCAATAGTGCAGGGCAATGCCGCGGATCGTCGCCGGTCCCCTCCAAGGTGGCCAACCCAGAGGGAATCTGTTGTTGGCTCCACGATGTCGGTCTTGTCTGGGAAACAAGCATTGAGTTTCTTTGGCTTCGGGTTCCAGGGTGTCGCACTTCAGAAAGAACTGATCTTAGGTACCCAGTGGTTGGTTTCCTAAACACTCTAAACTCTAAACCCTAAACCCTAAACCCTAAACCCTAAAACCCTAAAGCCCTAAACCCTAAACCTAAAACCCTAAACCCTAAACCTATAAACACTGATGCCATGAATCCCTAAAGCCCATAACCCCGTAAACCCCAAACATTAGACAGTATTAAACCCCTAATCACACAGTCTTAACCTAACATTGGCACGAATACCCAGAAACCCGAAACCCTTGAAAACAACCCTAAACCCTAAACCCTAAATAAGTCCTATGCCTTGAGAGTCAGGTCTAAAACCTAAACTAAACCCCTAAACCCCAACTGGTGGGTGAAGTTACCATATGGGGAATCCTAAGTGAATAAGGCAGTTGCCTTATGGTGGTAATCTAAATTAAACTCCTTGCCAAGAACCCGTAGTTAAGCCTCCCAGAAGCCATTGCTTCCAAACCCTAAACCCTAAACCCTAAACCCCAAGCACTTCGACCCGCAACCACAAACCCACGCCCTAAAACCTATAGTCCTTAAAGCCTCGTCCGTAACAGATACACTACCTCTTATGGAAAGTGTAAAGGAAGCCCCTAGAGAATCCCTCAAAAAACCGCTAAAAGCCTCAAGCCTCAACCCTAAACCCCTCAACCCCCAAACCCTGAACCCTTTAAACCCCTCAACCCTGAACCTGAGACCCTAAACACTAAACCCTAAAGCCCTAAACCCTAAACCCTAACTAAACCCGTAAACCCAAAGCATGGCAGGACCATCGCTCCGACCGCGACGGTGTGTAACCCAGCCTCCGGGGCTTGGGGCGAACATGGCATTTTGCGAGGATACCTAATGAGGGTTTAGGGTCTAGAGTGCAGCGTTTGGAGTGTAGGGTTTAGAGTTCAGGGTTTAGGGTCTAGAGTGTAGGGTTTAGAGTGTAGGGTTGAGAGTTTAGGGTGTAGGGCT